TTTCTTGCCCAAAGCACAACTTTGTTTTCACTTTCACCCAGACATTCTATACTTTGAACAGGTATATTTAAACCACATATTTTATATTGTTTATATAGAAATTCATTTGGATGCTAACAAAAATAGCATCCAAATGAATTTCAGATACCGGGAATCTTTTGGAAGTAATTTTTGTTTATGTTTGGTGATATCTCCATTTAATTCTCTCCAAATTTATTGCAAAATTTTTAAAGCATATTTTTTTGGGAGGGGAGGGTAACAAATTTTATTGAAAGTTATGGTAAAATTGTTATCCAGTTTATTTGAACACATCTGATACTACCAGTAAGTATTAAAAGTCCAAATAACGCAAATTGGTTTTTTTTTTTTGTTAAAACGTAATGATGGTTTAACTACAATGTGAAAAATAGCATCCAAGTTAGTTTTCAGGATACATTACCTTAATACAACTAATGCTAGTTAGTCACTACACAGGAGAAACTACATGGAATAAAATTGTACAAGATTAGTGCAGCAATTTTAGCTAATTTGCATAAATTGAAACAATTTTAGATTCATTTGCATAAAATAAAAACCAAAAATATGGCCTAATATTTATTTGGTCTAATATAGAGCAATACAAATGTACATTGCATATGATGTTTTTTTTTCTGAATATCATACAAAACTCCATGGAAAGCTTTGAAAATATTGTTTTAGTCTTAATCCATAAATCTTATTTGTTATTTTCGTCTACAGATGCTTCAGATCATCCGGCGTTGATGAGCACTAAACACTTGAAGCAATTTCAGTTCCTAAAGTATGACAGAACAGATTTACATGAAAGACATCTGAGAGCAAAGAGGTCTGCGGATAGTAGGGTGGAAAGCCATAAAACTGTGGAGTTAAAATTCTCCGCTTACAATAGGTAAGTTATATCCCATAATTCCTCTTGTCAAAAGAACACAATATGCAGCAATGTTAATGAGATGACAAGTTTGTTGCGCATGCCTTCACTATTTGACTATCTTTTTGAAGAGAAAACTATAATTTTGCAGCAATTTGGCTTGATTTTAGGTCAAGCTTGCCGAGAGTTCTCCTGCATGCCTGGTTACATGCTTGTAGACATTTTGCAATGTGTTTCTCTATAGTCATGATTCATAGAAATTAGTCACTGTACCACACCACTGTGTTCAAGTTTATTAACTATTTTGTAATATATATACAGTATATATATATAATGTGATTTGAAAGTAAACATTGAGTTGACATAAGACAAAATCAAGAGGAGTGCTGATGCAAACTGGGGCTTCCTTTGACATACGCCAGAGTCTCAGGGAAGTGCATAGCGCAGCACTGGGTTTGTTTGTAACTAGTAGTAGCGAACCTACCAAAATTATACTAGTTCATAAAACCATTGAATTAGAAATTGAGGGTTTTATAATAAAACCCACAAACTTCAATCATTTCTCTTGAGCTTTTTAAACTTACAGATTTTGTGAGCCCATGTGTGTTCAGTTGAGAGTTCCTGAAAGATTGCCATGCCTCAATTTTAAAATTCATTCAATTAATAATTAATAATAAGTATGATAATCAGAATGAT